TTATTGTATCAACTATAAAAGTACATTGAATCATTAATTTTAAATCAATATATATATATATATATATATATATATATTTTAGATTAAAAAAATCAAAGTAAATAAGCATTTGTTTTGAATGATCATGAAACAATTCTTATAACGACAAAACTACATTATAAATACGATTCGAACAAATATTTAATTTTTATAGTTTTGTATGATTAAAAAAATTAGGAAAATTGTTTTCTTTTTCTTTTTCAAATCAATAACTTTATTAAGTGTTTTATTACAAAAAATTTACATAAATTTAAAATTTAAATTATATTTAAAGTTCTATATATATATATATATATATATATATTATTTTTATATCATTTATAATATAAGAACATAATGAAGTAAAATATTAGATGGATGTGATTATATATGTTTATATAGGGCATTGCTATTGCCACCACAATCTTCCATCCTTTTCATATTTATTTTTAATTTTCAAAATCTGATTTTAAAATCTATTATCAGTTTAATTTAATTTTTCCTAATAAATAAATGAGTTCTTAAAATATCATGTTTTGATTACTTCAAGAACTAAAAAAATTGTTATAAATATTCAATGAAATTTGTAAATTTTCTTGTAATATAATAATATATTCATTAATGTTTTAAAAATTACTCATTATTATTAAATATAACAATAGTAGTATTCATAATTATATGTATACAATTGCTATTGCCACCACAATTTACCATTCACTACATGCCATTATAATGTTTTAAATTAATCTGATAATAAAAGTCAAAATGTCTGGAAGCAAGATTACTATGTCATTTGTGACAGGCTGCATGTTGCAAACTCTTGATAGTACAATTCAAAACTATTTGTGGGTTTTTTCCTTTTTCTTTTTCTTTTTTTCACTTTTAAATTTTGGTTCATATGTCTTCTAGTGTTTCCTGTTTAAACTTTCTTTTAAAACTTCTCAAATTCCTAATTAAACACACACACACACATATATATATATATATATATATATAGATAGGCTTCAAAACTATAAACTTTAGTTTAGCTTAATGTTATGTTTCCAGCTTTAAGATCCAAAAATGATAGCCAAAAACTGAAATATAATAACAATGTTCTTCTTGAAGATTGCTGAGGCAATGCTTGGTAACGAAGTCATAACAATAGAATTACACTTTTTTTCCTATTTTCTTCTATTTTCTTCTATTAATAGTTCAGTTGTATTAAACTTATTAAAAGCACAGCTTGATGGTTTTTCTTTTCAATTTCATTTTAAAAACAATTTTAAATATCAAATCTGAAATCAAATCATTACAGAATAAAATTATAGTCATTATAGTCACCATAAAATTATTTACTTTATAAACATGTCTAAATACTATATTTATCGTTCACAACTTTTTATATTAAATACAAAGTTTTGGTTACAAAAGAATACTACCAATCCTAATGTAAGAAATTATCAAATTTGTTCACCATAATTAAAAAAATATTTACTAGTGTTTTCTTGTAGAAATATTGTTTTTTCAAAAGTAAAAAGATTCCATTTGTTCCGTTGAATTAAAATTCTATTTTTCTAATCTGTCAGTTTGTATAGTTAAAGTTTTACAGCATCATAACAAACTTGAAATAAACAAAATAAGATAGTATAAAAATTATAGAACTTTTAAAACTTCATTCGATAACATTGCATTGAACCATACAGAAATAATTTGAATATCAAAAATAATAAGTCTTATTATTATTTTTAATTAAACAAGATGATAAATTAATTAATTAATAAAATGAGATGACAAAAGTTTGAACCAAAAGAACAGTCATATGCAACTAGAAACCATGTGTTGAGCAAAGAGTAAGGAGCTCCAACCACTACAAACTTAAGGCCGACAAAAGAAACAACAATATTTTATCGATTTAGGGCCTTAACAAACCCCACATCAAGTATTTGAAATTTCATATCCCAAAAATAGATTCAGGCTTTTTTCTAGTACTCCAATTGTGACGATTATGTACATTCTTTTAGTGTAAAATCCAATATATATATATATATATATATATATATATGTATGTATGTATACATGTATAGATATGTATATTGGCATACATATTCTCATTACATTTTATGATAAATCTACGCAATTACAAAACTTGAACAATTTCACCATGAGAACGTTCATCCATTTGTCTCGTCCATCCATCCATCTGCCACGCGGTTATGGAAGACTTTTACATGTAACTTACGGAGAAATAACATTTACTGTACGTTAAAAATAATGTGCCAGCAAGGCAGACTAGCTGGCACATGACTTGGCTGCTTCAAATAGCCTCCTGGCCAACACACACACAGGTGCCCAAAGCATGGGAACGTGAGCCCATGATCTGGGGTTTTAGAAAATGGGGTTTGAATTTGAACTTATCCAATGGGCTATTTTTCAAATTGTGGACTTGTTCTCACATTTGGGCACAAAATGGCAAGTGCCCACCCACCTAGACTAATTGCCTTATGACCTAGTTGGCATGAGAGATAAAGTTTCAATTAATATTATTAATAGAATTAGTAATAATAGAAAACATATCCATGTTCCACAAATTCTTATCAAATGCTATTTTGGTCTTACAATGATACACCGCCTTCTCACAAAGCACCCTTTCTCAGTGGACTGGTTCTATTGAAAGATGGGAACAGTTCCATTGAATTGGGCAACCTATCAATTAATTCTGATTGAAGTTTTGTTTTTGTAATGCAAAAAGGCCACGATTTTAGAACCCACATTTTACTTGGTTTCATGCTTTTCCATGTGTTATTTTTTAAAAAGAATATATGATAAGTGATTAAAGTAAGAGAAGAATGGAGTGAGACATTACACATGATAAGAAAATATGTCATTTTATTAGCATTTGGTACAAGCCAAATTTGTGGGTTATTGTAACAAACAACCAACATAAATTGATTGAGCAAAGCTAGTTTCCAGGAATCAATTGCTAATCCAGTGCTCATCTTATGTTGAATAGGAGTTTCTCTTTAATTATGGTAAGTTATATCTATATATATATATATATATATATATATATTTGCACATGAAATGTAGGATCACCACACTTATTGGATTGGATTGGATTGGATTGGAAATGAGCTCAAAAATCAAAGTACAAGGAAAGCACATAGCTTATTTTAAACCACATGTGGATTGTTTATAGAGTGTTTTTTTTCATGACATTTCTATGCACTTGAATTGGAGCCTTTTGACCAATAAGGGTGTTTATAGAAAATTAAAAGTCTGTCGCGATTACCAATGCACAGATTGTGAATGTGTGGATGGTCTTTTCTGCTGCCCCTACTAACATGATTGGAAACCCACTTATCTACCTCCTTGTGACCTGCAGGTTGTGGGGATTAAGCTAAGTACTCATTGCATATTATGCAACATTGTTTTAGAATAGATGAGAGTAAGGGCATTTGTCATCCATGGGAGACAATGGGGGGTATATATTGACCACCCAAATGTTGATTAATTATACATGTCCACACAAGTGATTTTGTAGGATTATCTTTTTTGTATTCCTATTCCCCCAAAAATAGCAATCTTTTTCAGCCCCACAGCTTCAAATAGTTACTTCCTCCTTACTCTCCTTTATTGTATGAAGCTGTCAAGCACTGGATTATGGCACAAGGGCATTGAGTGTCATGTAATCACTCTTTTGAGCGTGTCTGCAAATAAACTATCTAACAACTCTTGTGAGCAAAAATTTACATAAAAAATAATGATTAAAAATCACTCAATAACAGTGTTGTTTTATTATATACCCATTGGCTAGGTTGTGAAGCGTTACATTACTGAAAAGGTTCAAGATGGAGGTTGATTAAAGGACAATGTATTCCTTTTCCTTCTAAAACCACGTGACATTTTTCCTTTTCTTTTAGGCAACCACACTTCCTTCCTTTCGGGTTTAGGGTTTCAGGGTCTCAACCACGGCGATGGGGGGGAGGGGGGGATTTCCCCTCCACCCATTGAAAAAGGTACCGCGGTGGCACTGCTGATAGACGAGGCCTCGGTGAAGGGAGCAGGTCGCTTTTTGAAAAACGGGAATGGGGTGCGCTTTAGAGAGAGAGCAGCTCTCATAAATGAGCAGTGATCCGGATCGTCGTGGCAACATGCATCCTTTCCTCGGGAATGGCGAAGTTAGCCATCGACCTACCTACCCCCCCTTCTGACAATTTCGACCCCCCTGCCACGTGTTGACCGGACTCGGTTCTGCGGCAGGGGGGGGTGCAACTATATTCCGGTCTGTTGCCACGTGGACTTGATGGGAACCAGGTTTTAGGGTCAGACCATGAGACAACACCTTAAGTTTATCTCAAACGATTTTCCCCCAACCAATAAAAGTAAAAAAAAATAATAAAAAACAACCAGGTTTCAATTATTATTATCTTTTGCTATGAGTAGATGGGGAACTGCTGCCAGGATATATATATATATATATAGCTATATTTACACACATACACATGTATGTAATATTCTTCCGAGGCCTTCGTAGCAATGTGAAACATTTGCCGTGTACTTCTAGCATGATGTCAGGTGTACAGCAAAGACCATATGAAGTGTGTGAAAAAATCAATACCGTGAGAGAGCAGTTTACTGTAACAGAAAAAAAAAAAAAAAAAAAAAAAAAATCAACAAAATTGGTTCATTTTACTACGCACCACGTGGGCAACGCTCATAAGGTGGAGAACGAAAAAAATAAACGAGGTATAGTTGATACAAACCTACCTACACCCACAAGTATACGACAGTATTAAAAACTTTGCATTCCGACAGTGGATTTCCTCGTTGTATTCACCACTCCTTACCCCACCCAAAAATTGCGATAGCGCAAAGATGGGTTAGATCCAATCTCGAAATGGGCGGAGAATTACGCAATAAAGATGAAAACTTGTGGAGTAAGTATGGTGGGTTATGAAGGCGAAGGTAGAGGCGTAAATATAGAGGGATGGCTCTGGTCGGGTGGGGGTGGCGGGGGACGATGGCCCCGCGAGCGAGGCAGCGCTCGTGACGGTGACGGCGAAGCCTGCTCGCTCGCAAGGGAAGTGAGAGAGAGTGTGAGAGAGAGAAAGCGAGAGAGAGAGCGTGAGTGAGAGAAAGGGAGAGAAGGGAGGCGAATGCCAAACACAGCAAGGAGGTGACAGATTCCCTTTGGAAGACGAGCTGTCACTCTTTCACGGCTGCTGCGCCCCCTCCTTGGCTGCCTGCGGCGTCCCTCCTCCTCCCCATTCTATCGTTTCTTCGCCCCGCGTTCTCGTCTCTCTTGTTGCTCTTGACTTGCCCAGCGTTTTCGCAAGACCCACTTTGCTTCTTCTTCGTCTTCTTCTTCTATTACTACTACTACTTATTTACCCACCCTTCGTGTCTTGTTTCTTCTCTTTCAAGTTGCGTGTCTCACTGTCGTTGTGGACACGCTTCTGGCGAAATCAAGCATTTCTGTGTCTCTTGTGGTTCAATTCTGGTTGCGGGTCTCTCTGTGTTTGTAGTTGATTTCGAGGTGGTAGCCGTTGTTTCCGAGAGTCGCGGCGCAGTTGCTGTGCTGTTGTCTTGCCCTGTTGGTTTTCTGTTTCCGTTTCTGTTTATGTTTGCATTGGAAGGTCTTGGTGGATTGAGAAGGGAGCTCCTCCTTGATTGTTTCGGAGGGTTTCTGCGTTGAGAGAGTTTCATGTCCTAACGTGCTGATCATTCAGCCTGCCAAGTTTCCCTGTGAGTGTTTGTGTGTGTGTGTTTGCAACTTCTTTGTGGCTTTCACAGTGGATATCATTCTTCGGGAATGTTCGTTGGTGATGTGCCCTTGTGTGAAAGGGGAGACGGTCTCCCTCCTGGACGACCAAGTCCGTGAATTCACACCTAGCAAACCATCATCATATTAGATCTCATTGTAAAACTACCTTCGTTGTCCTAATGTGTTCCTGCGTCGCTCCCATCTATGTTTACCTGGGCTCCCAACTCTCCACCTTTTTCAACACCTGGATAGTCTGGAACAAGCGGTTGGACCTTGGGAAGCCCAAGACCTCAAATAATGGCCTCAAATATTTGCCAAAGCAGCCTACTCTTAAATCCAACGTCACTTTCAAATACAAGGAGCTTGAGGATGCAACAGGTGGTTTCAACAAGGAAAATCTCATCGGCGTTGGAGGTTTTGCAAAGGTACGTAGATTTTCAGATCCCTCGTCTTTTTTTCTTGTTTTTTTTCGTTTTGATTTGATTTGATTTTTTTTCCCGCGATTTTACTTCTGCAATCCCGACTTGATCATTACATATTGTTTAATTAATTTCTTTAGACCATTCTAGAAATATAAGTGCTAGAATTCGGAGACTGTTTCCGTGGCGTAAAAAAAAAACTCTTTGTGTTGCTCTGGAATATTCTAGGTATATAAGGCGACTCTGCCAGACTCAAGAGTCGTAGCTGTGAAGAAACTCTTTGGAAGAGGGAAGCAGAGTGACCGTGAGCTTCGCGCAGAAATTGAGACAGTGGGAAACTGCCATCACCCCAATCTAGTTCAGCTGCTGGGATACTGTAGGACGAAGGATGGTAAGTTACTTGTGTATGAGTACTTCGAAAACGGGAGTCTCAACAAGTATATGAGACGGAATCCAGGCAGCAAGGAAGCACATTTGGATTGGGAAACCAGGCTCAAGATTGCACTAGGAGCCGCGGAAGGGTTAGCCTACCTTCACAAACGGGACCCTCGGATCATCCATCGTGACGTGAAGGCCAGCAACATCCTTTTGGACGAGAATTTCGAGGCTAAGGTATCTGACTTTGGACTTGCCAGGCTGATTGATCCAGCCAAGACGCACGTTACCACATTTATTGCAGGGACGAAAGCGTACATTGCTCCGGAGTATCAGAAGAGCCTCAGGCTGACAGTTAAGTGCGATGTTTACAGCTACGGGATTGTGCTGCTCGAATTGCTCACAGGGAAAGATCCTTCCATGGGCAGGAACTTCGACATTATTGCCTGGGTGAAGCGGCGAATGGGCAGCTCCCCAGACTTTTTTGATGTGAGAATGCTGGATCCAGCTGACAAGGATGCAAATAAGGAGGCGATGACGAAGGCGCTCTACCTGGCCCTGGACTGCACAAAAATTTCCCCGCACCAACGTCCCATGATGGACGAGGTTGTAGTGCAGTTGAAGCGTCTGCAAAAGCCCGCGAAGCTGATGGATGATGAGGCGGAGTGCAGTGAATTCTCCAGCCAGCACGATGAGAACAGCTCCCTCATTTCTGCCGTCGAAGAGTCCAGCAGCACACAAACCTCGAGTGTTGTGACATCTGGAGCGGAAGACGACGGGTTTTCGGGTAAAGTTCTGGACATTCCATTTGATAGGCCTTTCATGGTGAGGGTGCTTTCGACCCCTCTTTTGAGTGACGCTGCGAAAGAGGCTGACAACTCTCGCGCGGTTGTGTCAATCGAAGATATTCGGTTGGAGAGCCAGCAGCTTACGCTTGGGCTGGAGAAGTGTGAATCATCGCCCTTCTCCGAGACAAATTCACGGCCCAGCCCTGACAGCGCGGATTATATTCGGAAAGACTACTCTCGGAACCTCTCATTCTGAGAATTCAGTTGAAATGGGTGCATAGTCTGCCGGTACGGTATTGAAGAAAATGTTCGGGGGAATGAAGTCAACTTGCTGGCCTCACAAGTCATTGCTTAACAATTGCATTTGGTGGCTACGTCTAAGAATTGGCACTAGCCTTTGGCGCGAAAGAATTGTAAAAACGGTTGTTGCGGCCGGGTGAGGAGTTTTTTTTGGGTGGCTATTGCAGCCTCCATTATTGCTTGTATGATTATGTGAATCCCCCCTCCTCTTTTTTTTTTTTTTTTTTTTTTTTCTCCTTTCCTCCTTTATAATGTATAAGGAAGTATTGATAGTAAGAGCGGTTTGATGCTACAGTGATATTGAGAAGTCCCATTTGGTTTCTTTTCTTGAAACGTATAAAGATTCTGGAGTGTCGGAGTCCATTGTAATGCTGGTCTTCTGATGGTCGTGCATTGGACACGGCTCACTCAAAGATAGATAGTGCATCCATAGAGGATTACAGATACGTGACTTGGGTTTTTCACCAAGAATGACTCAGTCGTTTCTTATTTGCGACAGACATCAGTTCCCTTGTATTGTTTGAAATAGAGCACTGCTGTGGATTCCTTGGCAAGATAAACAAATGGTGCAGAGCATTGGAGGTATGGTGTATCGCAATAAAGCAAGATAACTTGAAGTGTTGATTACTATCAGCGGCATGGTGGTCTGCTGGGGCCTGCTTTCTTTGAAGGCAATGCCTCATTATAGTCTTACATGAATACTGGAAGGCTGTTCTACTATATCTTAACTACATCTTCTGACATTCATGGGAGCGTCAATATTATCAAAGTGTACATCATGTTACGATGTCGGCGACTCAAATACTGATTTGAGTGGCTTACCCGTGCTCACTTCAGCCTTTCAGTTTTGAAGGACATCTTCGTGATAGACGTTCGGAAGCAAAATTAGCAGGATCTGTTAGTCGAGAGAATTTGGCCTTTGAGGTTTCGAAGTTCAGGGATTACTGATAATTTTGTGGTAGATATTTTTAAGAACTTGTATACGGCTGCCTATGCTTACGAAATGGACGAGCCAGTGATTGGTTAGTTTTATCGCATGTCCCCTTTAAGTAGAGCATATGCCTTCTTGGATTGTGAGCTATGCACATTCAAAAACTCCAAAACTCTCTGAATATGTATTGGGAATCGTAGGGGTGGTTTTTCGCTCTTCCGTTGTTCTACTGCCGAAGATAAAACTGCAGGATTGGGAGTAATTTCTCGCAAAGGAATGATCACAAACTCAAAACCTCCGAAAGTGGGATAATATTACAGGTGTTCCGCACCTACTTGAGTCATTCGCATTCACCTTCCACGTTGACACTTGGGAACTGATTGACTGCTTCGAAATGCTCGAGTGCCGTAATCGAAAAGCGACTGCGATCGGTGCAGCTTTTCATCACATTACTATAACATCCTCTTCCTGGAACTGTTTTTGACTGAGATGAACTTCTGTACTGCACGCACTGAAAGGAGGATTTTGTCGTAGGTTTTGGAGCTGGTGCGGTGTGTGTCTTGCAGTACAAAACGCAATGCTTCTGCCCGCACTGCGATGCATGTGCATTGCGTGAAATCTTCAAAAGTTCGTTACTGCACTGTATGCCTGCCGTTTCCTCACCTAAAAATAATCCACCTACAATTTATCGTCTAGGTGCATATTTCTGAAGAGAATGGGATTCGAATCAGTGACTCCCAATCATGCATGTCACTCAGAACGTTATAATAACTCTGGCAATCTTCCATGTTTCAAATGCACCAACCCTGCCCGCATCAGGCGCAGAAAAGAACTCACGAAAGTGGATATTGAACTGGGTCGAACAATTACTCTCTGTTCCAAGACTCATATAAATTTGACCTAGAAGTCTAATAAAAGGAAGAGATCGCTGGTTTGGACAGGCTCGAAGCGTCCATTGCCGCAGGCAGTAACATGTCTTTGCAAGTCTTGACACTTCGAACCCCAAATTGCAGCATGATGCATCCAGAGTGAAGTCGATGAAGATCTCAACATGATGCACAATCAGAGAGGATGAGTTCCCATCAGTCACGGCGGGCGAGACTCGAGGAGAGCATATATTTTCAAATATTGGACGGTTAAAGGACGATCTTGACGGAGATACTCAGTGTTGAGGGGATGGGGGTAATATTAGAATGATTGAATTGAAGGGGACAGGCTCGACTGGGGCTCATCTTCTAACGAAAGCGGTTGTTCTTATAGACGTCAAAGTCGCGGATGAGGGATTCTGCGTGTCCCTGTTCTGGGAATTTGAACGTGTGCTTCGTCAACTGCACTAAAGCATTGGAGGTAGGTGTGGGTCGAGAGCTTGAAATTTTACGCGTTTGTGTTTGGCATTCGTGGTTGGGAGTTGCTTTCGTGGGTGTTGTAGATGTCGCAGCTTTTAGGAAGTGGGGTTGTGAGAGTGGGTTAACTTTTGACGGAGATGGTACGCAGTAAGGGATGCGGTGTGCCTTTTGTATGCTTTTAGGAGTTCGAATGAAAGTCAGTCTGAGACGCGAACAACTTGCTTCACTCGGAAGGTCAAGAACTTGGTAGGAATTGTTCTCTGAAGAAGCAATAGGAGGGAATTTCGTGCTGCAGCGATGGCTGTTTCGGCGTTCAAGTCGACGACTCGTAAGCAATATGACATTCGAGGGGTGGAAATTGAAGATCCAAGTGGAGGGCGATTGGGGAATCGAAGCCCCTCACGCCGCCGCTCCATGTCGCGTGCTCCTAGCCCTACCCGTCGCGCGACGTCCCGCCAACCTCCTCCCACGCGCCGCTCAATGTCCAAAGCGCCCAGCCCTACTCGCAGGCGTTCAATGTCTAAAGCTCCTAGTCCCACTCGCGGTCGCCGTGGAGTGTCGCGCAATCCGAGCCCTTCTCGTCGCGCAATGTCCAAAGCTCCCAGCCCCACACGCCAGTCCACAGCGAGAGCTGCTAGCCCGGTCAGAACTAGGAGACTTTCGCCATCGCGAAATCCTAGTCCCACTCGTGGACGCAGAGGAGTATCGCGAAATCCAAGTCCCACTCGTGGACGCAGAGGAGTATCGCGAGGTCCAAGCCCAACTCGAGGTGCTCGTCTAACCCCAGCCTCTCCGGCAAGAATTCAAACTCGTCCCACTAGCCCTACAAGAGGGCGAGAGGCCTCTGTAGGGCCTCGTCCCCGAGTCTCTTCTCCTCCAAGAGGAAGTACCGCTAGGGCATTCGGGCATGTGCACAGAAGATCTCAAAGTACTGCAGATGTGGCTCTCGCTCAGTTCCAACCTGATTCTCCTGTCGCCTCTGATTCTCCGACGATTATCACTACCCGTCAGAGTGGCATCGGGCTAAGGGCTTCGTCTCGGATGCTTCCGAGCGACTCTGAGAGCGAGGTTGAGCCACGTTATGCGCGGAGATTAGACAGAAGTGGAAGTTTCAGCACCCACCGTGACAGCTCTGATAATGAGAGCGTTCAGTCGTCTAGGTCGACGAGCAGAAGGCATCCGAATGGATTGCGAGAGAGGATCTCGCGGAGAACCTCAAGCACGCAACTGGAGATGCGTAGGTCATTGACAAATCTTGAGATTTCGGACACATCTACACCGGTTTACTATCAGAAGCCTAAAACTGCTGGTGCGGAGGATCATCATCGCAACGTTGGAAAAATTGATGTAGACACTCAAGTGGAGGGCAGAGTTGAAGAGAAGACTATCCAGGAGGTGCACACACAAACCAAAGTGCATACATTATGTTACAATTGTCTGTATGATGTGTCTGCTTCTACGGACGTTCCCGCAGATGCCACATCCCCGATCGGACCTTTAAAGCTGAAAGTGGCCGGAAATTCGACGGAAGCTCCAGCACCTGGAGACGTAGATTTCGTGGCCTTGTACAATGCTAGATGTGCTGAACTTCGGAGAGCCGTGTCTGATGCGAGGAATGAGCTGGGGAATGTGAAGGAGGAGGAGCTTCGAAAAGTGATCGAAGCAAAGCTGGAGTTATCAGAGAGGAAGGTTTCGGAGTTGTGGTCACAGTTCGCAACGGAGGAACAAAGATGTCTACATCTGGTGAAGTCTGTGAAGGACATCAAGGAAGGTTCTGTGGATCCCGTAGACGTGGAAGCAGACGACATTGACCTCAAAGTGACAGTCTTGAAGAAGGAGGATTTAAGGCCTCAGCAGCCTCATCGGTACTCCATGGAGGATATGGATGAGTCTGACTTTATTAGACAATCGTTAGATGAGGAGGCAGCGCGGTACTTCGAGGAATGCGCCATCATCGCTAATTTCGATGCGAATGTGGTAGATGTAGACGACATATCATTGTGCAGTGACGGAGTAAGTGACGGCGAAACGACGGTGTGTGACGACCCAAGACCGTCGTCCAGGAGGCAGAGCTCGGAGAGTCAGGAAATAGTGTCAGTGAGGAAGGAGATAAAACCCCTCGATAACGAGGGAATTGCGCTGCCATGGTTGGATTGGGAGCCGGAAGTTGATCTTGGAAGGAAGGAACGGATTGAGAAAGCTGTGTGTGACTTCCGGGAGTGGAAAAGTGCGTGGGCTCGGAAATCAGTGCAGTGGGGAAAAAGCTCCAACCGGGAGCGAGGGAAAGATGAAGGTGTCGTTAATGTTGACGAGTTCTTGTTCGAGAGAACTCGATTGCAGCCTCGCATTTCGCAAGGCAGAATGCTTGTCTGTGGTGGAAAGCGGTGACTTTAGTGAATGTTGAGCTGAGAAAAAGGAGAAGGGACTGGATCATCTAGAGAACTCGTGTGTATTATATTGATAGCGAAACCTTGTGATGCCTATCAGCTAATGATCCCTTTGGTTTTGTTTCCCTGTTGGTTTATAAGGAGTGTGCAACATCTGTTAGAGAAGCATCCGTGGCAGCTGCTGTCAATCGATTTCACACTTTCGCTAGGTATACATTCTCAGGTTTAAGTGTTTTCGGGTCTCTTCCTTTTCTCCCTTAATGATTCTTTGTAGCAGTTCTAAGGAGGCCTGTAACTGTGCAGAGGGCGTGACGTTGAATTATGTGAGAGATCCTCTCCCGCTTGAGAGTCTGTTTAGGAATATGCATCACTCGTATCTAGAGACCATGACCTGAGAACGGCAGTTCCGTGTCTTCCGTTATCGAGGTTTATGACCAGTTTTCCGAGAGCAATTGATCAAACTTACGTGGGTTTGTAGCGTTGTCTTGTGAAGGTCGAGTTTTTGAACGTTTCAGGAGAAGTGGGGATCTGTCCATGAGTAGGTACAATACCATCTTTGGACTACTATGTGTCTTATTGCCGAGTCTGAACATCTGGTGTGTGTGTGGAAGATACTGCAAACCCAGCTTCAGTCGTTCGTAACCAATATATTTTACTTGTAGCGAGTACATTATCTGGCGGTGTGTGGGCCTCTTTTGTTAGTTCCTTCGTTTGTTAGTTTATGATTGTTATTATTATTAGTATTATTAGTGTTAGTATTGATCGCCTCCTTTTCTGCTAAACTAATCTAACCACATTTGTGCCTGAGAAAAACAGGTGAAGATGTCGAGAAAGTTCAGCATATACACCACGCTGTGCTTTGATTACACTGGTGTATGCGTTTAGACGATGGGGCTTGAAACCAACTAAGCCTCGTTGGTTTCTTTCATGCAGTGTCTTGTGGAGATACATCCTCATTACGAGTTCTTGTCAATTTCAAAGAGAGGAAATGGTAGAGTGGGATCATGAAAGACCGGCTAGAATTGCTTGATGGAGCAAGCAGCAGGCAGACTACATGCAAGTTGTGTTGATGACCTTGCTCTTTGCCTTACCCTGTAAGAGATCAACTATGTAATTTATTGTACCACTAGCCAGCTGGCAACTACATAGCATTCTGAATTGGAAGGCTATTCATTTGTGCAAGTTGTTTTGAAGCTCGACTTCATTCCCTCCTTGTCATGCAAATAGCCATATTTCATTAATGGTTGTACAAAATATTTTCATAATTGATTATGACCTCCACAATGTGATATGTAGGCTAATTCACATCGTTTTCTTAATAAGAACCAGCTGTGTGCTAAACTCTTGACAAATTGCATACTAAGTGTATAGAATGTCGCATCCTGAAACTTGACTCCATGTTTTGATTTATTAATCTATTATTATTATATTATTATTATAAAATGATGTAAATGGTGTTACACACATGTGTACTTTACGACCTACATGTTGGTTACACGATTAATTCCTAACTTCAGAAATACAGTGGCAATTTGAAGTTGGATACGGAGGAAACCTAATAAAATTGCAAATTTTGTGGCACGTTTGATCTTGAATGAGGTTACTAAAAAATGGCTGCATGTTTGCGTGCCATGCTGCATAGTTGAAAATCAAGCCAAGTTCCCGATGGTTGGTGAATAATCAGCACCCCCGGGACGTAGTTACAGGAGCTTGCCTTCCGGTTCCTTGATCCTTTCCACCGACAGTATGAAACCCCTGGAATTGAATCGTGCAGACTTCCACTCTAGTGTCCAGCGCGGTACTTTGCGATGCGACTTAGCCAATGAGATCGACAAATTTAAGCATGAGCACATATCCCCACGAGCATGTCGCCATCGCAATATGTCGACATTTCTGGCATTGAGAGACGCTTGGATTGGACCAACGAGTAGGCCATGGCATCACTCCCTGATTCTACGACCATCTATAAATTGAGCATGGACCCGCTGTAGTTTTCAGACAATACTTCTTAATCGAATGCTACAGCTGTGGTCTCCATCGTTCAGTGTCTACCTCCCCGTCCTGTACTCCACACAAATCCTACAGCTCATCGGCTCTTTAGATCAACAGATCAGTGTCACTCGCAGTTTAGCCGAGTTTTGCATTCTCATTCCGCGATGGAGCACAGTGCAAAGTTTGACCTTACTGGTGGATATGCAGTCATTGGTTGCGGCACCGAAGTTGGGTGGAGGTAGGGTGTTCTCAAAATGGCCTGCGATTGATTCTGGACGCGATAGATCCATGGCCACAACGGCTCTTGTGAGATTGTTTCTGTCTCGATACCGTGATTGTATATCGATTAGTTTGTTTCTATGCGTTTCGGAGACGCGACCAATGATTACGTTTCCACCGCTAAGCACATGAATCGAGGTCCACTGTCGCCTCCTCACAGTTTAACATCAGAGCTCGCGGATCTCGCATATCTTGCAAATTTGTCGACGCAGAAATGGTTCCAACGATCTTGGATCTGTTGTCACTTTGACGGCGTCTTCTTCCACTGTTTGCCTGGTCAACTGCGGCTGAAAGACGAATGAACAAGCGAACGAACGAAAAAGTGAACGAATATGTGAGTGGATGAATTAGTGCGTCTGAGTAACTAAATGAATATATCAACCCATGGATGTATTGATGAATTTGCGGAGTCTGTTGTGAGGTGTAGTTACAGTATGTAGTATTCTTCATTACATTACGAATTGGAACTACTATGATAAAATTTTAATTAATTGATAACTAATAATTAAATTTTATGGTAACCATATACTTGAAATTACATGCTACTAACAAAAATGATAAGGCTGCCACGTCTTTGCTTCTGCCCCTTCGAGCAGAACTGACGGCTTATTTGGAAGAGTCCAGAGTGTGGAGGAAAAATCCAGAATGTGGGACCATCAACCAATGACATAAAATTGTATTTATATCTATTGATCTCTCTATCAATCTCGTTTTTGGAAAACCTGAGATAAAGCTGCTGAATCCAGTCAAAACAGTGTACATTGTTAACAGACTGAATGTGAACCTTATTACACTCTTCCTCATCCACTGAGAGCTTTCAACATGCGTAGGCTTCAGGCCCACTCGGTGCTGCAGTGATGCTGAAGTCTTGCCACTTGCACATTCGTTGTCGTAGTTGTGCATGTGAAAATTCTCGCCTGTCGTGGTTAATGTTCAATCTGAAACGCCACGAGACCCACAAAGGACATTTGAAGCTTGGAGCTTGTGAAGTGAGTTCTCCGCTCAGCCTCCTAGTTCATCAGAAGTGGAAAACCCAGAGATCCCAATTAATTGAGTGTTCCAAATCATAGCAAAACATTCAAAATATGTGTGTATGTACATGTCCCCATTCGCAAACCTGAAAAAGCAGCTGAGAGTTGTGTGGTTACAGTCAACATCATTATACTTATGCCGAGGCACACGATACGGAAATAGAACCTCGTGTCCGTAGCGGAAGGCTGATAGGTGGTTACAATCTAAATGCCAGAAAACTTGGGAAGCTTTCGAGGTCGGTATCATTTGATGATCCATCAACATCTCAGTAAGGAGCTGGAGACCATTTTGGAATGCATAGAACTGTCCTAACAACTCTTTGTCGGGTTCGAGGAGATGCCTGTATACATGAACGAATTCATCTTGTGCAGCAGGTGCAAGTTCAAGCCATCTGTTTGAACCAAAAAACGGTCTTGGAAGTCCCACGGATTGTTCATGCATGTATCAGTATGATGGAAGAAAAAGTTCGGGTGCACAGATGAGAAACAGTTCTCTGTCCGACCATCACTTGGCCTTCACCTGATACGATTTATCTCCATGGGATGAACCCATAAATTCATTGAGACACATCTCCGAAACCGTTTAAAATAATAACTTCGATGAGGAAGGACTTCGAATCTGCCAAGATGATCAGGAATGAGTTAAAACGTCCACTTGAATGTATGCTAAAATAATTCCATCTGGCACTCAAGATATACTGAAGCTTCTGCTGTAAGGAGATCCGACCGTGTGTGCCTGTGAGTGTAAACGTAATACTTTTTCTTCTTCCTCGCTGGCCAGGAGAAGCAGAAGCTCACAAGCCTTGAGAAATCAAGATTTTACAAATGTTGAAGAGACTAGAAGAAGGAATCTGATACATGGAAATGTTCGTAGAAGTCGACGTATAATCCTGATTTGTACCTAATCGACCCAATACATCAATGATGATTTAGAACTACAAACTCCAAACTACACGTCAACCTATTAATCAGAGTTACACAAGCTGCTTCTTTCCCGACAGACGTTGCAGCCAATTTAGATATTGATATGACTTTGTGTGCACAATCTATTTCACAAAAGTCTTTGCAATTAGTGAAATAGACTTTGTGTGCACAGTCAGTTTTTGCACACAAAGTCTATTTTGGAGACTATTTCACAAAAGTCTTTGCAATTAGTGAAATAGACCCTGCAACCAATTTTAGATTTTGGAGACTTTGTGGTTTTGTAAATTATTTAGAAATTATGACATTTTTGAGCTAAGAAATATTTTTATTTATGAAAATAATTAGAATGCCATTACTATTGCAAAGAATCCAACACACTATAGTTGTACAAAGCATTGGAATATAGAACATTATTTTATTAGGCAATGTATGAAACAAGGACAAATTGGTTTGAAATATTGTTCCATAGAAGAGTCTCAAGGACATGAACCGGAAGATGTATAAACCTGAAAAACCTATGTTAAAAGAAAAATGATAAAATAGCAATAAAACAGTATGTATATTAAAAGAAAACTGGAATGGCTATTGCCAAAAGTTAAGAAAATCAGAAATTCTTAACTCTAGACTAAAAGCAAGAAAAGAGTTGACAAGAATGAAGAAGGCTTCATTCTTGCCTATATATATATATATATATATATATATATATATAATCTAACTAGGAGCTATACGGCAATGTTCTATAGGACCTTTAATATGTATTGACTTTGTAGGACACATGCCTTAGCTTACAAGACAAGTTTTTTATGTGTGGGCTATATAGTTAACTTGTTCTTCAAGCTACCAATATATGTAGGACATGGCCAACTTGTTGACCACGTTTTTAACCTAAAAAGTCAATTAAAGATACCTATAAAATCAAAGCAGCATCTATGAAGCTTCTAGGAAGTTTTTATAAAAGATATTATGGAATTAATATACTTTTATCTATTATTATCTAAATCATATAGATAATTATTGATTTACATGTGTATGATCGTGACATTACCTCTCTTCTAGGGACAAGTTCCACGGGAAGCACTCTTCATATATTGAGGAAATCCAAGATGTGACAAATTGTATTTGCTACATACTTCGATCTTTATTCTCTTCAAAGATAGTTGATAGATCCTCTCAACTATAGATAGTATTCCATAGTAGGGCAAAAAGACCATCCTATTATTTGGTCATTGTTAAGACTTTCATAATTTTCTTCAAATATAACATTTGAAACATCGTCAAGAGTTGTTCTTACTTCCAATAAAATGTCAAGGACAAGAACTCGATGAAAAAGTAATTCAGACAAGTGAGCCTTCACTCAAAGAAAGGTAACAAAATATATATAAACAAGTATGTATATTGAAAGAGAAACTAGAATGGCTATTGTTAAAAGACAAGAAAACTAGAGATCCTTGAAACTAGATTGGAAGCAAAAAAGTAGTTGACAAGAGTGAAGAAGGCTTCACTCTTGTCTCCATATATACTATCTAACTAGGGACTACATGGCAACGTTCTATAGGACCTCCAATATGTGTTGACTTTGTAGGACACATGCCTTGACTTACAAGGCAAGTTTTTCTACGTGTGGGCCACATAGTTAGCTTGATCTTCAAGCTAACAACATGTATGGCACATGGCTAACTTGTTGACCACGTTTCTAATCCAAAAAATCAATTAAAGATACCTATAAAGTCAAAGCAACGTCTATAAAGCTTCTAGGAAGCTTTCATATTAAATACTATAGAATTAACTTATTTTTATCTACTTTTACTTACTTCCACCTATTTATATATGTAATTACTAGCTTACATGAATATGTCCGTGATATAAAATTATCAAACATCAGGAGTCTCTTCCAAGGTCGTGATAACAAATACGTTGTAGCTTGCCATCTATTTGAGGAAGGACATGTCGTTTTTGAAGATCTTCATCTCGATTTTGTCATCTTGAAGGTTGTAACAATCACAATGTCTAATCAAGTAAGTCTGCAAATAAAAGCTCTT